TGTTTCCATCCCTCTCCCCCATCCCCTGCGCATTTCCATTACCTGTTCTTCCCCAGAGATGAACCCACTGTATTGTTTCTGCAAACAGCTGGTTAGAATCTGATTTAAATAAAAATTAGCACCTGAATACATACTCCTTAATCAACAATCAAGAATATATTAATAGCATGGGAGCATTTTTGTTTTACTCTCTACGGATTCCCTTGGTCACCATAACTGGATCAGTAACTTCCAGCACATTCACTAGCACCACTCAGTGCCTTTCTCATTGCACCTAATTAGCTTTAAACGGTTTTAGTGGCTTGTTTGAACTAGCAATGAAGTTATTAATCTGAAGTCAAAGAATATTCACAGTTCCACATCTCAGTTACACTTGCTGATGCATTTTCTTCTATTTTTATTTTCAAATTTTTTACCTTATTACTTCAAGAAATATTTAAATAGCAAGTGCTCAGACATTATTATATTCACAAAACTATTTCATCAAAAGAGGTTTAATTAAAAACCACATTACTCTGAACAGATAAATATTTTTCCAATGAGGTCACATGATAATTTTTAATTAGTTCTTCAGTAATCACATAACTCAATTAAAAAGCTAGTGTAATGCAAGAGCTAGAATGACAAGTGAGATTTTAAAACCTACTCCAATAAAAAGTACTCATTATTCCAGGGAAAAGGTGTTTTGCTTTGGTCTTTCTTAAAGAATGCATCCCTGATTAACACAGGTCTTTCCTCTGCTGCCATCATACTTTACCATCTGTTCATACCAAATACATACGTCTCCACAGGGATGATAATCTGATTTCCCATCTTTCCACTTCATTCATAACATTGTCATTTGCTTCCATAGAGTATCTAGGGTGCAACCATACCCCCCATATGTCACTGCTGACGCTGTCACTACAGTAGTGGAACTACAAGCACCACAGATCTGGTCCTTCTCTGCAATTCACTCTACTGTGTCAGAACAGGAGCACGACACACACAGCTTGTACTCTGTGAGCCATCTCTACAATATTAATTCTGCAAGTGTGGGTCTGGTATTCTTTCATGTGCCTAGAAAAGGTGACCTCAAGTGGCAAAAAAAGGCATCACCAGTATGTTAACAAAATTTTCCTAAATGGCTAAGTACACTGATACCCAGCTTGAATCCAGATTTCACCAAAATTTGAAGGAAAAGGGCATGTGAAATTTGTTAGATCTTCTCTTTCCTAATAATGAAGGGCAACAGATAGTTTGAACAGTTCAATGAGATCCGACCGGAAGAGCAGGAGCAGCGCTCTCTCCCTGAACACCCTCCCCGTCTTCCCTTCAGTCCGTGCTTCCCTCTGCCAGGTTCTCCAAGGATCATGGGTTATAAACATACCCTGTCTTGTCCGCTCCTTCAAGCACTGCTGGAAACAAGGCCACAGATAAGTATTGGTTGCTTGCTACCTGATCGGTTGTTATTTACCTATTGTTCACACAACGGTGTTAAAGTCAACACAAAACTATACTCCCTTCTTGGGATGAAGTTCTAGTCTCCAAAAACTCAGGGCTAGCTAGATTTTCACATTGAATGTTAAGCTTCTTACTAGACTTTCTTTCCTTGGTACGTTTCAAACAGAAACCAGATTCCTCTTGCTACCCTTTTAACTTTTAGAGAAATGGACTGAGGACCTCAGAGAAGGGACTGGTCTTCTAGGAGCACTGGAAAATGTGTTACTATTGCACATGTCATAAACTGAGTTGTAAAAGCCCTCTAAGGTATGTTGAAGTACAAGCTATGTTTGGAACTGTGATAACATACTATCTGTCCAGCTGTAAGGAAAAGAAAGGCATGGGTAGGAATATCTGGAATGCAGTCACGTTTGTAACTGGGGCTATTTTGGGCTTTATGTGCTCTGAGTTCTGCTGAGCTTGTCTTGAAAAAGCAACCCCAAAGAAGCCTTTTGAGGGAATGACCTTCCACTCTAGCAGTGACAGGTACTGTCAGTGCCCCAGCTGAGGGGCTGCTCTTCGGTACAGAGTCTCTCAAGCAGGTCACTACACTATATAACAGCCTCAGGGACAATAAAATATATGGTGTACACAGGAACTACTACTGTCTATCAGACCCACCTACTCAAGTATCTTTTATTCCACTGGTGTGATACACCCCAGTGCCTCAGAGGAAGTTGACAGAGTAAGCATGAGGAGATTTTTGTGAACATTGAAGTACTAACCTCAAGCAGCCTTTCCAAAATTCTCTACTTAGGACTATTATGAAGGCAACTACTCTAATTTTCTTTTTTTTTTAATCTATTTAGATTTTTTTTAGTTATCTGGTTAATGCTTGTGGATTAAAAAAAGAAAAGAATGTCAATATGTAAATTTGACCTTGGCCCTTAATTCCCTACTAAGCTCCAAAAAAAAAAAAAAATTGCTAATGTTTCCTGGCTTTCCAGGCAAGCCCTGTTGCAATATATGATTGCAGCTGAGTTTTAAGAAGGTCCAGCACACATGCCTTTCTTTTTTAACCATTATTTTCCCAAATACATCCATTTCTCAGGCCCTCTATAGATACTTCACTATCTATCTAGTAAACCACTGTTTACTAAGTCTGTCACATTAGCAGCTTCTAACACAGCCGATTTTAGCTCTGTTGCTTTTGTGCCAATACATTCCTGCAGTAGAATACCACAATAAAGTAAATAAAGGCTAGCTTATTTGGGGAAGCATCTTCACACTACTTACCTGGTTATCATTCACAATGATTAAAATGAGTCAAATGGTTTTTAGTACCTGCTTGCACTAAACTGCTCAGTCAGAGAGAGAAAAGGGTATATTTGGTTACATAGAATGCCTCTTCAATTGCATGTGTGGAGTCTTCCAGAGCAGTATTACCCAAACTTTCTAATCAAGCTTAAAAATTAGCTTTAACTTGTGCCAAACTCTAAATTTTTTAATGCAGAAAACTTGCTCAGTCATGTAGGTGGAGTTCCCTATTTCTACCCAAGTAAACCAATCTCAGCAATCTTAGTTTCGTCTAGACAGCACTGACCTAATTTTTCCAGTTCTGTTCTATTTTGGTGCAGCATCATGCATGGATGCCACTTGTTTCCCAGGATGAGGGATGGGTGGGGAATAAGGATGCTGGTTTGTGGACAAGCAGAGCAGGGAACGGGGCTGGGCACTATGGCACAAGAGCTCCTTTTGCCAGTAGGAACAATTGTATTCAGTCTTTATGGTTCAGACTTACCAAAGGTCACCAAGAGTGAGGTTTCTAACCAACGTGAGAGAGATTGTGATTGTTGAGCCTGGACTGTGAGATATTCCACAGAAGTGAAGTGTCCAAGTTCCCCGTTTCTCCTGTTTTTAAAACGCCAGTTGGATGATTTTTCTCGCACTGTTGCATTTGTTGCAGGATTACTGGCAAAATGTCTTTAGTTTCCAAAGTCAATCCCCATGGAATTTCACCACATATTTAGGCATATTATTCTATTTAAACCCTGACTCTCTCATATTTTTCAAATTACTCCCTTAAAACAGCTTCTGCCTGTGAAGCTCGAGGCTGTTTATCATCTGGCTCTGCTTTTGCATACAAGGAAAGAAAATGATGCAGCAGCTCAAAGATGGCTGAGCAACTTTAAAGATAACATTTTTACCTAAGATTTTAACGTAAAAAACAAATTCATTTCATAGTAACCTAGCTTGGTTATATTTGTTTCAAGATGAAACCACTTGCATCTTATATTTGAATGCACACAACAGGATGGGTTTCATCAGAACATTTAAAGAACCATATAGAAACCTGTAATGTGCACAGCTGTTCTAAACTTTCAGGTGAAGTTTAAGGCATCATAAAAAAAAATTGACTGTATCCAGAGCACCAGCAAGAGCCTGGAACCACAACATGTGAAAGGAAAACCCAAACAACCTCCTCCCAAAACAGCTCTACATCACTGATTGGTAAAACCAAAAACCTCTTTCCATGCTCATGAAAGGGACTGGCTCAAACCAACAGACCAAGGCTACTGAACATCCTCAAAAGACACTGGATTGATTCTTGAAAAGGAGTTGGAATGTGTTGCTCCATGGGTTTAGTTCCACTGTTCCAGGAATTAAAGTGTTGAAGCATATATACCTAGCATTTGGAATGAACTGGATAGCTGAGAGCCCAGACTTGAACAAGTAACAGACTTCACACTACTCTAAATATTAAAGTATTAAACACTACAGCTCCTTTTTTCCTCTCCAGCTCATCAGCTAAGTTGAATGATGCTTATTTTTAGACTGCATCCTTGGTTGAGGAGCAACCTTTCAAAGGTAGCTCCTTTCCTTTCACCGGGAGCTCTACCCTTTAAGAATGTTACATAACACACTTGGTACACACAACTAATCTCAGCTAAGAGAAAGAAAAATTAGTACCAATTAGCATTAGAAGACACTGATCACAAGACCCTTAAAATCAGTTAACTGAAGCATATCTTGGCTTCACTCTTACACTACTGAGTTTCAAGTGTGCTGATTGCTGGTATGTCCACCACACAACAAAGGAAAAACATTAAAAATCACAGATACAATAAAGGTAGAGAGTAATTATCCTATTTTCCTCAAAGTAGAAAGATTAAGGAGTACTCAAAAAAATTACCACAGTAAGTACTGATATTATGTTAACCTTATTCAGGCCCGCACCCTTCTAAAAATCAATGAACTTGAAGGGAAAAGTAGTGTCCAGGGGACAAAGGAAAGAGAGGAGAGCTCAGAATCAATGCAGACTTAAAACATTAATAAACCTATAATCCAACTGGTCTAAGTATGTATCTTCAAGTACTGAGCTCATGTTTTTTGCTAAGCCTACAACTGGATGGCATCGTCTCACCGATTCCAGGGTGAGATTCAGACATCACTACAGGCTGTATAACCTGAACACAAGTCAGTCATCTCACTAAGTAACTTGGAGTATCAAATATGCATTCACTGTATTGTTACAACATTCCTAATCACACCATTAAGAAACATAAAAAGCCTAGGTATTATTTTATATTTAGATTTATTATTATTTCAGAGGCACTTAATGTCTTACATTTATATAGCGCCACTTCCCCCTCCAAAGCACTTTACAGTATTTACATACAGGAACGTTTCCCACCACTGTCGAAATGCAGCCATCTGACTATTACCAGTACCATCTTCAAAGCACCAACAGTTTGACACTGGAAATATTCATCAGTATTTTGTCTTACTAAGATAGTTCAGAATTGCAATTTACACACTTCCAACTTGTGCTATTAAAAAGACCTAACAGCTAAAATACAGTATCACAGTGCAATTCTGCAACAGAACTGAGACTGGGATCGTTTTCATTAGATTTTTTTTTTACAATCTTTCATTAGACCAAGCCTATCTCAAAATACTTCAATGTAAGGCCTTTTAAGAATACCATTCTAAAACATCATTCTTCTTTATACTTTCTTTAAAAGCCTCTCTTACAATCAAGCGCCAAAGAATATTTTTCTTTCCTTACAGCATATTTAGAAACACTAAGTCCTGGCCCTAAGAAGATACCAGCATCCGCAGTTTCAGTGAACTTCATGGCATCTAAAGGCAAACGTATTTCTCCTTGGCTATGGAGCTGGATTTTTAATTTCTTAGGTTTTTTTTTTAGTTTTTAAAATAAATCTGAGATTATACAAAATTCTGTCATTAACCAATTGAATTGTACAGTACCTTGGGATTGGCTGCTGGGCTGCTACATAAGTTTGCTGTGTGTGGTTTTGCTTGTCAGTGTTTAAAGTACATTAAAGTATGCCAGGTTCACTACTCCACTCCAAAGTCCGCCCTAGTCACAAGGATAATAGCAACTTTCTTGGTTTAGAGATTTTTTTTTTTTTTGTCTCTCTAAAATGCTACTAAAACATCCCTTCCAAGATCAGAAGTCGCATTTGTGCTGACAACTTTAACAAAAAACAAAACCAAAAACAAACCCACAACAAACTATCTGGCATCCCCACTTTCATGGTTACCATTAAAAAGAGACTACCACCTCACATACAGCATGCTGCTACCTGCTACATTAGAGCTGATGTGAGAATCTGAATGAACAGAAAAAAAAATATTAGTAAAATGAGATATCTATTTGCCTTCTTGTGGACAAAGCACAAAAATCTATTCTGGTACCTTATTCTTTTGAATACACTACACTTCAGAGAGGTTTTTTTGATTTTCATTGATGCATTATACTATGAATCTATCGTGGTGACTAGATTCTTATATCAGGATACCTGTTTGCCTTTGAGTACTATGAAAGAATAGTAGTACTATCAGGTATGGACAAGAACTATGATAAAAGGAAAAATATTAACAGGTAGCAATTTCAACGTGAAAGATGATGCTAATCAAATTGGGTAAAAATTATCAGACAGCAGTGCATCCAAGTACATACCCATTTTAGAAAAAGTTGGTTCTGTTTTTAATCTAAACCCTTGATAAAAGATGCACAGAACCGATTTATTGCATATTATATGCGTGCCTTCATGTAGTGCATTCCTAAACTGTATCTTATATGGAACACCAAAAAACTACTAGACCTTCACTGTACAACAGGTATTGTAAATTTTTGTTTTAAAGTCTAAACAACGATTCAGTTTGAATTATACCTTCCTATTCCCTGATCACAACAATCACCTTGCTGCACTTATGTCTGTCAAAGTCACACAGCAACCACAGTAATCATTTGTATGGAAAAAACGGTTACAGTCAACTATTTAAAGAGTTTGGTTTCTGCAAGGGGATTTGGCAGCTGGAACAAGAAAACCAGCACGGCTAGAGACCCTTAGACAACAGAATAATCTTTATCAGAAATCAAGAAACCTCATGACAAATAAGAGAATAAATATGAAGACTGAAAGCATCATTTTAGGCTTCACAGCCTAGAATACCAAACAGGAAGTACCATTATCACTTTAAAACTCAGATCTGAAGGGCAGGTAAAGCAATGAGGAGAATTTGATTTTTTGAAGAGGGAGAAAAGGAGGAACTTGGAAAAAGCAACAAAAGTTACAGAACTGAACACACACAGGACCAACAACAGTTTGCTATTTCACAGATTAACATTTCTGAGTCCATTCTAACCCCTTCTGATTTCAAAAGAAGAATGCCTGGACTCACATTCTTTTCTCTCTTTCTACTTATGGGAGTTCATTTCTTCAGAACTGAACATATGCAACAAGACTGACTGATACAAGGAACATCACTTGTCTTGTCCCTTTTGGGTTTTTTTGGTCAGTCCTTTCCTCCCTCAACCTCCTCTCAACTCTTCATCACTATAGTATTTCTCTGACAGTAAAAGAGCAGCTGGAGTGGGGGATGGATGAAGTTCTTGCTAAACTGGAAAAGAATGGGATTGCTGAGCAGCAGAGAGAATTGCATGGACAGACAGATGTTAAAGAGAATCCAAAACCCAGCAAAGAACAAGCTTAATCTTTTCAGCAGAAGGAATTAGTTCTGTCTTTCAAGTTCAGTCCATACTTTATGAGCAAGGGCATACTGGCTACATCACAAGGCCTGGTCAAGGAAAAGGCTCTTTCTTTTGACAGGGCACAGATCTGAAGATGGAAGAATGTCCTGCACCGTGTGACATAACTCAGAAATATGCATAGAACAGAGCAAAAATCCAAGACTGCTTTGCAGGAACAAGAGAGGTAGCAACCCTAATTTTAATAGGGCTTTTCACTAAAGGGAAAGAAGGTCTACAAAAGTCAAATCAGCTGATTTCAAATGGTTTGCATCCCAAGATGAATCAGGTTACACTGATTTAAGCCCAATTTAATTTAGGCAGGTTTTTAAACCACAAGAATAAGGACATTCTTAGTACATATCAATAATTAAACCAACATATACACAATTAGCAATATCCTACATAATAGTAAACGCTTAACAGCTTGTTTTGGGTTATCCTAGTTAATTGGTTTAAAAAACAAGCTGAGTAGTTTTAGTGTACAATGTCTGCCATTCTACACACTTCCTGTAATCATCAGTCTCTGTAGCAGTTCAGTTCATGACATTAAGATCCAAATTCAACTGTGTCTTCAGTTATTTTCTTGAAATCATAGTTTCCTCTGCCATCCATATGCAAGTAAAACTGAAAGAAAAGAACATATATTATCAAACACCTAAAAGTTACTAGGTCTATAAATGCCTAATTAAATTATACTTTGAAGTATTTTTGATGCAAAATTTTTAACTCAGCTAGCCAGAAGGTAAGCTTCCCCCACCTCATGTTTCATTAAATTCAATTGCCTCTGGAAAAAAAAAACTTAAACTGATTTATTTTCATGTCATCCATCAGTCTGCTAATGGTCACACCTAAGGTTAACACTGCTATCTTGGAGTTTGTGACAATATAGTTGAGGTACACATTCATCCCTGTATATTATTTCAGTATTTTTCCCCACACATAAAGTTCGTCTGCATAAAAAGTAGTAACAATAGTAAAATTTTAGTTTGGAAGAAAAGAACACCATGTATTAGAGATGAACTTTTTTTAAAATGTGGAGATATATTAGGTATCTTGAAAGCAAAAACTCCACAATGTTTACTGGATTCTAGTTCAAGGGTTTATTCTGAGGCTAAGAAAGAAGACTTAAGTATCTAGTAAACCTTTCATATTTTTGAGGCTTTTACAGATACATTGAAGGATTTTTTATTACTTTCCCCTTTATAAATAGCAGCATAAGAATGTTTCAAATAGTGCAACTGGATTATGAAAGTAAAACATTTTTAAAAAGAGATAGAACGTGACCTACTAGGATGTAAAATGAGAACATCTTGTATCATAAAGCCAATTTAATAGAGTCAAACAACAAAACCCCTACCAGCTACAGATATCCTTAGCAAATGCAAAGATTACATACATCATGATGTTTCCAGAGTGACTTTCTGTGGGAGACGGTGAAGAGAGTGATGCCAACCTACATGAAGAAAATACACACAATGAAACAGTTACTTTTTCTCATAAGTTAGGTGTTATTTGCTTTTCAGCATGGTATCAGCTGAAGAGCTTAAATTCATAAACACAAACTTCCAAACTCTATTATTAACAGTATACATATGGAGCCTTAATACAAGATTTTGCAGTTAAAAAAAAAAAGCAGGAGAGATTTATCTTTTTTAATAGATTTCACCATTCTTTTGCTCCCAATGATCTGGCAAAACATAAAATGAATTGGGCAAAAGGAAATAAGGTGGGAGGCAGGTAAAACAACAAACCTGGTGATTAACAGAAGTCTACTTTAACAACAAAAAAAACCCAAAACCATAAAAGCTAATAATGAATTATAAATTTAAAGTGACAACTTAAAGGTGAATAATTTTCCTTTGTTTCACTGCAACTCAGTTAATTATGCATCCCTAACAGTAACACCAATTAAAGGGCAAAATGGCTCTGATGATAAAACAGGGTAGCATTTTTTCTTTCTGCAAGGACAGCTTAACCAGGAATCTATTTTCCAGTAACATGCATTAGCCACTTGGCAACAGTAACTCTAAAACAAAAGTACAAATGAACATTCAAGTTAACAGAAAAACAAGTATATGCAAAACAGACTTGGAAAAATGTCAGGGTACTGATATTAATGTGGTAAAATTAGTTCAAGAAATAATGCCCATTCTTCTACAGAGTCCTCATTTAGTGTCAGTTTACTACTACAAAAGGCTCCGTAAGTTCCCACTTAAAGTTTCAAGCACATATTTAAGTGGATGCACAGCTTTGCTCCATCACCATTCTGAGAACACTGCTACTCAGTAACTAACATTTCAAGCCCATTCTTTCCCAGGCTAGGGGCGTGAAATTGAATCTTACTGATATTTCACATGGCACTATGTAGAATCTGAAATGGTAAGTGTAAGAGGGAAAGGAAAAAAAAAAACCCTGTATTTAACATGATCATGTTCTCCTAGAGTGCTTGACGACTTTTATCTCAAAATAGATGGAAATATTAATTTTCAGCCTTTCAATTCTGTTATCCTGGCCACAAGAAACCTCTCTAACAACAAAAAATTATAAAATTTTAGATTATTTGATCTTCACTTGACATCCTAAGAGTTTATCTGGAAAAGTAAGGTTACTTAGCAGTTAGTAAGAGTTGTCTGATGTACACGTGGCGCCTCTATATCTGAATTGTCCTAAGACTACAAAACAATTCTAGTGTGTATAAAGGGTCCTTGCATGCCTTTCTAAGCTTTTTTATTATTATTTTTATTTTTAATCTGCACTAGGCATAACGAAGAATGCACCTAGTATCATTTTAAGCTTCCTCTTAACATACAGAGATATAATTCTAGAAACAAAGAACTTACCTTTCGGCAGTGGCTGTAAATGTAGCCTTCCACATCAACGCTAACTGCACTAGTGCACTCATCCAGAATTGCAAACTGAGGCTTATGATAGAATAACCTTGCCATCTGGAATGCAAACAAAAAAGCTGCTGTGGATACAGAACTACAACCAATAATGCAGTGTTAGAAGTTAAACTAAGAGTTAGTGTCCAAAAATTTACTGTGACAAGTGAATTTCATTTAAGTTGACAACCACTGAAGCCCGAAAATCTGAAAGCTGCATATTATCTTTATATTTTTTTGGAAAAAACATTATTTTAGAACTTCTGTCTATAGAATCAAAGTGCAATGCATGGTAAAAGGTCAACATTTCCTATTAAATTTTTGAGTGCAATAAACACTATTTTAGGTTGTTTTCTCAGTATTAATCCTTAGTAAACAAAAGCTGCTTACAATGCAACTATATTTTCTACCTATGTCCTGTATTTGTTAAATATTTATGCTTTTGAGACATACTGCCATTCTCTGTTTTTCTCCCCCGCTGAGTACATCCATCCAGTCTTGAACACTATCCCAGCCTCCTTCACGTTCCAAGATTTGACCCAGCTGAACATTATCCAAGTATTCCTTCAGCACCTTTTATTGAAACAGGAAAGACAAACAGAGCTTAAATTAATTTAACAAGGAAATTCTTGTAAAAGGTTTATAAAGGGTCATATGCTTATACTGGTGTGCTATCAAACCTGATAAATAATAAAAACAAACTAAATGCAATGTTTTTAATAGCAGTTTCAGTATTTTTAAATCTGAAGTATTACTCATTTTAAGCAAAACAAGGTGTTAATGAGCTCATTATTACCTGGTCAGAAATCCCTTTCTTTCTCTGATCTTCTAAAGTATCTGGATATATAACTTGATCTCTGAGCGTTCCAAGAGTCATATATGGTCTCTGAGACATTTAGAAACAAGAAGGTATGTCAGACCTTTCTAAACATAGACCAAGCAGGAAGAAAGAGAACACAATTGTCAATTAAAGAAACTTGCCTCACCTGGGGAACATAGAATAACTTTCCTCTTACAGGTTTTGTTAAACGCCCACCAAACAAAGGCCACAACTGCAACAAGAAAAAGGTTTAAACTTGACCAAAAAAGTCCAATTACAACAGTCCTTTGTATTCTCCCCCATTTATTTTAAAAAGTTCCCTTACCTCACCAAGAACACGAAAAAGTGAGCTCTTCCCACACCCATTTGGCCCACAAATCAGAACATTTGCACCTGATCGAACCTAAAAAAGCAAAGCCAACACATCAAAAGGGTAGTGATAAAGTATTGTTGAAAGCTTCTTATAAACAGTAAGACAAGCTGGCATCCTTGTAGGCTTGTACACAGTACTTTCTGACATTACAGTGAGTAATTTCCACCAATAATTTTTTTTTTTCCCAACTAGCTGAGCACCAATTGCAGCTAGAGGAAAATACACTTGTAACAATAAAAACATTTTTGGGGAAAACAGTTGTTTTGGTTTTTTAAAAAAGGGGCAATAAGCTAACAACGATCAATTTTGTTCAGATTTAAGCACACCATATAAGTACCTCTCCATTTCTGTTTGAACTTTTTTTTAATAAATCAGGTAACTTCTGAAATGATCGTATTCACTTTAAAATTATATATGAATATTGTTTTCTATGTTATTAAAAAACTTACCTCAAAGTTAAGGTCTTGAATTAAAACATCTCCATTAGGTGTCACCAACGGAACATGATCAAACCTATTTGTATTGCAGTATTTGAAAAAAAAAAAAAAAGGAGAAAAAAAAAAAGAGCAGAAAGAGCAGTTGCTTAAAAGCAGCTTACTCGGAGATTTAAGGAACAGGGCAAGATTTCAGCAGTACTTCATTCAGTACACTGTCCCAGTTTCCAGCTAAGGAAGTTCTTGAACTAAAAGTGGTACCTTAGCATTTAGCAAACATCTACAGATTTTTTTTTTCCCTTCATATCTGTTTTCTGATTCCTTCTAAGCCTTTGGTCTCCAAACCATCTTGTGGATATAAACCTACGTTTAAGGACACAATTTTAAATCTGCTCATAGAAGTGTATTCCATTAATTCTAGGATACACAATGAATGACTTCTCTGCTCACCTCTCTTGCTTTTGTTTTGTTTCAGTTGTGTTTTTTAAAACTAAAATAATAAATATAGCTCTATCATCTCCTTCCTTTCTTCCTCCCCCCTTTCCCCTCTACTCCACTACCTACTTTCCACATTGACCAGATTGAGGCTATTTAATCTCTTAACTGGCTTTACTTTATGCTAAGTAGTACTACTATGTCAATACTCTGTTCCTCAGACTGCAAAGAACTGAAGAACTGATTGCTACTTGAGTACATCAATGAACTGCCCAAGCATACAGAAATACAAGCAAATATTTTGAATCTGGATACAGACTTGCTCCTGATTTTTACAGCTGAACTGTATCATGGAGTAAACTCTGTAACCAACATATTTCTAAGAAGAAATTTGATAAAGTCTTAACAAAATGGTCTGGGAAGTCATATTCCAAAGGACAGCAGGAAGTGTTACCAAAAAGGCTAAGTCCAGACAGCATATTATGTCTTCTGCTAACGTGAGAGGACAAGGATTGACTTAGAGAATAGAAATGCTAAGTGGGAGTAAGGTGGAATTATTTGTAAATACACCATAGTACAACAGGAACTGCATATTGTAATGATGTGTATTAGAACCTCTATTAATAGTGGTAGAGGGAAACACCTAAAAGCCAGACTATGTTAAAAGTATTTAAGTTGTGGGAGCTTTGTAAACATACTTGATAAGGTTATCGGTGTTGATAATTTCCCCAGATCCAGGTATCAAAGGCAAAGCTTGCTTTTTATCCGCATCTTAAATTAAGAAAAAAGTATTAGAGACTGGAACAGCACACAGAGATGCACATACTGCATATTATGTCACATCTACCTTTTTCTTGGGATATCATAGTACGCTGATATTTGCCACTATTCAAGTCCTTCAGAACCTGCATTAATTCTGTAATTCGAGCTGTGAAACTAAAAGAAAAAAGAAACAAACAAGCCTATAAAGTAATTCTCCTCAGAAGTTTCAGAAATCCATCACAGAAACTCTAGTGAGTACTCTGTTAAACTGTCAAAATGACAAAGTTATTCAACCCAGCATAGAAGCAGAATCTTTACATTTTTAAGTTCCACTGAAGCTGTCCAATATTCACAATATTTACAAGAACCTTTTCCTGTAATAGACCAATCTTTGATACCTTTTCTCATTAAGACATAAAAAGAACAGTTAAATAATCAATACATAATTGAATTACGAGCATCTGACAGTGTCTTTTCAATTGAACATTCAAACTGTATGCTGCTACTATTCGGATATGAATCTACTAGTGGACATAATTAGCACATCTTTAGATATGTTTTCAGCATAAAATGTTAATTTATACATTTTTAGGGTGCTGCAGTGAACAAAGCAGATAAGCTCATTTTAATTCTACAGTCAGTTTTTAAAAATGAAATGAGAAACAGCAATATCACTTTAAGAAAGACTAATTTTATACAACTACTATTAAGCTTACCCAGCCAATCTCGTCATTTCACGGCCTGCTAGGACTATTCTGCCCAAAGCTTGAGACATTCTCAGTAACATTCTTCCACTTTGGTAGTAATCCTAGAGTAGAAGAAAGTTTCTTTATGTGGACTAACAAAATTTAAATTCAGGAAATTATTTTAATTCTGTTATATTTACCTCCAAAAGTTCTGCATGAGTACTGTTCTGATGACGAGGATCAGCCAGGTTCAAAAATGGACGACTAACAACCAGGTAACCAACCACAGTGGCAAGGTCTGCAGTTTAAGAGTAAATATTAAGCTACACATTAATTGTGGCAATAATAAAAAAAAGAGAATTCGCATGTAGAAAATTTAGCACTTTGTTATTTATAGCACTCCATCAGCACTGGACAAGGACTTACATTTGGCAATGATGGTATCAATGAAACCCATAGAGAACCGGAACAGGATGAAATTATGCAAGTGTTCCACCTGGTAAGTTACAGAAGAAAAAAGGTCAAACTATATCAGCACCTGTTTTACTATCTTTTGTTATTTTACAGACATTTGATTCCAAACACTGTTGATCTTCAGTAAGTCACAGATAACTCAACACACCTGTAACCGAAAAGCACTGTGCAAATGCCTCTGCTGGCAAAGACTTGCCCTCTAGATCAAAACAACCTACACTCAAAACTAAGCAGTGAGAGAATAGTAATTGCAGTGGGTGAAAAGGAGGTAAGTGGCAAGAGGAAGACCATTTTGTCAGAAACTTGTATTCTGCTTATAGCCTACTAATTTATTTTTAAAACTAATGACTGCAGCAGCATAAACTGTAGCCACTATAATTCAATTTATGTATTAATATAGGTCAAAAACCACCATGATAAAATTAAACAGTTTTGCTTAAAATATTTTAAAAGGTAAAAGAAGTCTTACCAGTTTACGGAAGGTTTTGTGAATAGTCTGTTTTTCTCTCAAGTTTCCATTATAAAAAGCAATTTCTTCACTAAAAAGAAAAAAGCAATATATCCACAAAGAATGCAACTACATTTTCTTAAAGTCAGTCTTTGAAAGAGTCAGCCATAAAACATGGGAATATAAATCTTTAAGTTACCTTATGAAATAAGAGTTTGTACCATTTCACAACAGTAAGCTTATTGCTTATTATACCCCAGCTACAGTTTGTCTTTCGAATTAGGAATATAATGCACATATGAAATATTTAATATTAATCTGCATAAAGATGCAAACACTTTGCTCAGACATTCCAAATATATTTTAACATACAGATTCCACTTACACATCGTATCACTTTGTCACTTATATCTTGCCATCCAAGTAAATTTATACCTGTTTGTAATAAGCCGTGAGTTGACGTATCTGTACTCCCCTTCATATTTTTGTTCTATAATAGTCATCTTGCCAATTGGTCTCCTTAAACGTGTGAGGAAAAACCCCGAAATAATCAAGTATGCCATCATGCTAGCTGGACCCTGTGAATATCAAAACAGAATAAAAGGTTACCACCCATATGGTCTCAAATTGCAACATCTGTATCCCAAATGGATAGAAAGCCTTAAACCCTTGATTCTCACCTCCCTTGTGTCTGTTACCAATTCAATTACTCTTGCAATTCCCATCATGTCCCTTTCTTTTGTATTGTAAAAAACATTTTACTAGTTTTGCTAATTCCCTGTTTCCAGATGCCCTTCCCACCCTGGCCTTCTACTGAGGTTTTTATCATCACCCAGTGTGATCAACATGTTCTACTGTCCTAGCTTATTTCATTAATAATTTCCTGGTCCTTTCTCATTTCTTCTCCTTCATTTCTACCTACTTCTTTTTTTCTGTATTTGCTACATTGTCAAAGCAGTCAATATTTCAATGGCCTTCACTTCTTTGATCCATACATCTCCAAAACATTTCCCGATTCTCTCAAGAAGTCCTGGCTGGGATATCTCATTCTTCTGGATCCTAAGCTTCAATTGACCAGGGCTCCCAAACAGCTTGCTTAAATATTACTGAAGTGTGGCATGGCATAAAAACAAAGGCATAAACTGAATTTGGCATAAACTGCCTGTAATAAGTAAGTTGTACAGAGAGCAATGCAAAGACATCTGAGACTGGAAACATTACCTAGGTTCAGCTAAGCCTTACTACAGTCTGTTTTGACAAAATCTGTATCATGCACCCCAGAGCTGCTTCTTATCAAACCCTGAATATTTCTGATAATGCATCATTTTACTAAGCTGAAGAATTATTTCCAAAATTATTCAGTTTACTAAGGGGGAATATCATGGTCATACAGCTCAATGCATGGAACGGCTCTCCTTTATAGCAGCTGCAAAGAAACAGAAAACTTACTTTCTCCCTTAAATGGAAGTCATGTAACATATAAGCAGCTAGAAGGGTACTGTACTAAATGGGATTCCCAAGTAAATGCTAGAAGAAAATAAAGACTTCCTTGTTTCATCAAATTGTTGATCTAGTGCCTGCAAATTCTGTTTTTTATTCTGTTTGCCTCGAGATAGAGAGCACTAAAGCATACAAAACATTAAGTAAAAAAGCATATTTTCAGTATACCCCTTTAAATAATGGCTGAATCCATAACTGATGTCTGGAGTTTTCCTCAGACTCCAAACAGGTACAAAGCTATAATCAAAGAAGGGAAAAAAAATTGTTTATAATGCTAAAAAACCCACTCAATTTACCTGAGCTCCTATTGCACTTGTTAGCTTGAAGATATACAAAACTATGTCCAAGAAGGGCTGTAAGAGAAGCACAGAAAAAAAGCATTAGAACACCAACATAAAACAAATATAAAATGGTCCAGAAACCACAAACCACCCCAAGAACAGTTATAGATCTGCATTAAAAAGCACATTACTGATTAACCTACTGTATAGACTAAATGTTAAATCAAAAGTAATCTCAACCACATGACATTTTCCTGAAAACATTCACTCAATAATTGAACATAAAAGCATCATGATCTTCAGATGAAGTACACAGTGTATAAAAAAAGTACTACTTCATTTTATGTCTGCAATAACACACTGCTCACTAAGCAAAGTTGGACTAGACCCCGTGATTATCTAACTGAAGAAATTGTGAGCAGAAGGATAATGCCGTATAGTTGGCTATGCAACTGATAGCAGCAATATTCCGATTTGCAAGCATCCTGTTCCATACACTCTCTCAAAGCTAAAGCAGCTGAACTACAGGTTTTGTAGCCAGAAGTTTCTGAACACATCAACTTGTATTTTGCTTTATACTTCTGCTTGTATGAACAACACAGCATGAAAAAAATTTAGTCTAAAAATTTCAACAGTATTTTACTTCATTACCTAATCCCCCTAAAATTTATACCAGAAACTAAGGGAACTGCTTATTCAACCACACCTCCCTACCCAAAATAATGTTCATATGTATGTAACTAAACGCCAGCCATTGGTTTTCTTCTGAAAACTAGCTGAGAAATTGTACTCATCAGTGTTCAACTGCAGAATAATGTGATAAGTTCTTTAAAAGAAAATTTAGTACAAATTATAACAACCCATAAACAGTGCTTTCGCAGAGATCATGGAAACCAGAGAATGTGAAACAATACACTATCATAAACAATTTTTTTTTAGCACCATACTCTAAGCAATACCAATATACATGCAAGCAATTGTTTTGAGCTCTGACACCACATCTGACATGTCCACAGCTATTACTCAAAGTTCTCTCTGAAAATACTTACCTTGCTAAGGTTCGAGTACAGGTCCACTACACTGTTACAGAATTTTTCCACATCCTGTGTAAGGAGTTGATCTGGATTAGCTATTCTGTTGTCCAGATTTCCCATTTTGTAGTACGTATAAGCTCTGAAACAGTAGTGAAGTGGCAGAAGAAAAATTCATTACGTGGGATCTCAAACAACTGGAACCCCTCTGCTTCATAAAACTGAGATGGAAAGTAGTACAAACATTAAGTGACTGTTTGGAGTTAACATAGCTTGCACTTCTGGCTGACCAGATCCACGTTAAATCCTACAGAACTGTTTAGGCTCCAGGGTATCTTATAGTTGAAGCTCAGGGTCATGCTCCTCTATGCACTGCTGCTCCACTTAGCATTAGAAAATGCTCATGAACTCTGCATCAGCACACTTGACAACCAAAATTCAATGCAGAACGACATAAGCAGCTACTGAAGTTCACGCATCCAATTCAGCCTGCAGGTGTATTAGCACTATATGAAAGCAACTGAAGTAATTTGGAAGCTGACCTAGTAATGGAAGCAGTACAGTGCCTTTTCTTTTTTTCCCCAACTGAGCCAACTTTGCATCTGTGCCATTGTCCTGAGTTTGAGTGAGTGGTAGGATTTTTGGTAGCAGAGGATGGTTTCAATCCATGGACCTCTGGGTTAGGGGCCCAGCATGCTTCTGCTGCGCCCATAACCATATACAAGCATGGATAAGCCACTCATCCTTAACTGCAAGCTAATTACAACCAAAAGCCTTTCCTAAACAGCATACCTAACCTATTAAACACCTTGCTACCATCTTACTCTGTACTTAAAATGATTTGGTTTGATTTTAATTGATTTAGTTTTTAAAACCTTTAGACATTAACAAGGTGTTACTTACTTAAGGTACTCCTCATAGAGGTATCTGGTAAGTCTTACTCGGAAGCAAAGTTTCAATTCATTTAGACCATACTTCAGGAAGTTATTCACTAAAGAGATCTAAAATAAGAGACAGTGTTTCAATATTTAGCTAACAAGATTTAATATACTTAGTTCAGTTTGCAGCATGAATTGTGCAAACACTTTTGAACAGGTGAATTCTCTGCTTGAAGTCAATAATATTATTAACATGCCAAAGACCAACCATACAGTGTCTGCAGGACCATTGGTTAGCTTTTGAATCTACATTTTAGAAAACTTCCATTCCCAGTGGATCTCACCACGTCAAAAAATTTTATATAAAACTATGTTCATACAGCATATTTTCAACTCTTCTGATAAGCTGTAGAAAAGAGCCACCATCTGACAACCACTATCTTAAACTGATCAATTTGGTTTTAAATCTACTGTAAACCAGCTACATTGTCTATTAGGTAATACCAATTATTTCTATCTGGTACAGGTCAGAGACCTTGACAAGGTGAAGGAAAGTTAAAGGGAGACTGATAGCTTAATGTGCCATCAACAAAACTAACCTGAAAACCTAAACATATCTGTTAGAAAAAATAGTCGCAATCAGTAAGGAAACATGCTGACCAAGCACACACTAGAGACGGAAAATGAAATGCATCTTAATACAGACCTGCACATAAAACAATTAATTTCCATGGGGTTTAAGACATTCATTTGAGATCTCTTCCCCATACTCTTAATTTACATTTAAAATATGTTCTACTAAAAGGCCGGCATAAGAGAAGCACTTACAGCAGGCATTGCAGCGATGAAGTTGAACAAGTATTTCTTGAAATCTTTTCTGCTGCGGCCAATGATAGCACTGTAAATGACCATCAGCTAAGAGTTAGTTACAAGAGAAACAAGGAAGTATAAAACTAGCACACCTTAAGTGGATAAATTCTCAGTGGACCACACAGAGAAAAAAGAATCTTGGAAATCTGTAGTATCATCTGTAGAATTAAGTACGGCAGACCTCCGTAAGTGGTAAGTGACCAACTAAGCAATTATCTCCCTTCTGCTCCTGCAGTAACTGCCTGCATTAAGAGCTCAGAACTTCATGGTCACAGGATACCAGTTCCGTTCCTTCTTTGCTTTCATAGATTCTCACAAGAGAAAAACGAAGCAGTCCTTCCATTCTACAAGGCACTGAAAGTCTTTCCTGAAATACAGTATCATTTTGAATTCACACTTCAAGACCAATTCTGACTTGCTTCAATTAGCAACAAGAATAATCAGAGGTCTAGAAAATGCTTTCTAAAACAGTAAGACTGAAAGCATTGTGTTTACCAATCTAAAGAGCAAACAGCTCAGTAGGAAGAAGTAACAGTCCTAATATCCAAGCAAGATGTCTGAGTCTATGACATAGAACCACTATGCCACTATTCTGAAGTGCGCTCTTGGATGTTCAGATCAACATAAGAATTGAAGTCTTCAGTGTACAAAATGTGACCAAAAGAATTAAAAATCATTTAATAAGAAAATTTTGGTTAAAAAGAAATAAAAATAGGAATTTCCCCACCCCAAATTGCAACTAAATTGGTTTTCCAACTGTTTTGTATAAATAAGCAAGCTATAAAATATCTGAATGTGTTCCGACAGACTACTTACCCTGTTAAATGCAAGAAAGAATGTTTAAAAGTAACAAGTTCATAGATACCTTTCAATGACTGTTCCATTTTGAATCATCCAAATATCACAATATGTGCGGACTACAAGCATCACAGCAATAAGCAGCAAATAACCTGTCTAGTACAAAAATAGAAGTGTAACAGTTAAACAATGGACAAAATTCACTTTTTTCTAGTAAGTGGTCCAACCATATCTAGCGGAAAAGTATTACCCTGCTGCCCCCAGCTAATCTAGTATTTGCTTATGTTGCAGGAAACACGTTAGCATACAATACTTTTAATAAAATACTTATTACATTTTTATGTAGAAAGTTTGTCTTTTAAACAGCTATGTTGGGTTGACACATATACTGGACACATCCTATAAGACAGAGCATTGCAGGGATAAAGAAGTTACTGATATCCTAAGACATCTTTCTGCCGTAAGCATAGGGTCATACAGGTTGCAAAGGACCTCTGAAGGTCACCCACTCCAACTCCCCACTCAAAACACAGCCCCTAGTAACCAGTCAGATCTTGTGTCATTGATCAGAAACCTTTAAGCCCAACAGTTCAGCCAGTTTTCCACCCACCTCATTGTCTACTCATCCAGCCAATTCAGTTTGGCTATCAGCGTTCTAGGGGAGACCTTGGTCTCAAGGCCTTGCTAAAATCGAAGTATTCAACACCTCTGTTCTCTCTTCATCCACACAGCCAGTCATCTCATCACTGGAAGCAATCAGGTCAGTAAGGTGTGATCTGCCATTCCTAAATCCAGGCTGGTTGTTGCAATCACCTTTTTGTCCTTCATGTGGCCTGAGTTAGTTTCCACGATTTTCCTCACAGCCTTACTAGGAATATTGTGAGGCTGATGAGCCTGTAGCTTCCACCATACTTGTTTTTGAAGATGGGAGTAATGTTTGGGTTTTGGGGGATTTTCAGTAACCTCTTCTGATGGACATGAATGACCTTTTGAAGGTAAAGGAGGCCAGCTCTGTCAGCACTCTCAGAGGCACTCTGATCCATGCTTCTACCTTCCACGTACTTCCTTTTTGTAAACGAGCTATCAAAGGTCCCTGTTCATTCAGGCTAGCTGGCTGTCAGCTGTCACGCTTGCTCTACATTCTGTACACTGGAATTCATTGCTCTTGTGCCTGGTGCATGTTGAAGTTCTACTATATTACAGTTCATCGCTTAAGTTCTGAGCTCAACTAGTCATCTTTTAAAAAAATGTTAGTGTTCTGGAAAGCGTGAGAAAGATGCTGAGGCAAACAATTTTATCTTGTTAAATTCTAGTCTGCACATCTTTCCTGAAATGATGCTAACAGACTATTTGACAAATTCATTTTCTAATAAGTGTTGGCCTAGATACGTTACAAAAGCAAATTTATGGTTGAACATCATTCTACTTAAAGATAAAAAGCATTTGCACAGAGAAGCATACTACCTTGCATCAAATCAAGCAAAACCTGGACACCCTTTAAAAGATATGCTACAGACAGTAGCTATTAGCTGACAGTAAATCGTTTATCTTGTAATTGAAACCAGAATACGACTTTTTAGTGATCTAACAACTGAACATACATGTAGATTTTTATATTAGTATGTTGCTATTTGAAAACATTTAGTACAATTTAGTACTATTCAAGCAAAGTATATGCTTCTATTTAAATTCTGATATAATTACAAAAGAAAACTTGACTCAAAAAAACCACTCACTTCTGCTTGTTACTGAAGGCAATGCTTACCTCTTTACAAAGTGTTCTAGGAACCATTATTTTCAGGATTCTACATATTCTTGCAATAAACACTCTGTCCACCACTGCTCGCTCCTTCTTTCCCTCTTTCTGCTGCATATAGAACATGTAAAACAAGAGTGGTATTTTTCCGGTAATGTATTATTTAAAAGTTGATGTGATATTTTCCCTATCCAAGTTATTTACAGCTATCTACTTTCTGCAGCATTTGCAATATTTCCCTCCAATTTAAGACTTGCTTACACAAGTTAAATGAAATTTAACAATTGGGAGCATATGCCCTCACATCTAACAGAAATCCTAAGCAAGAGAACTAAGCTATTAAATCAAATTGCAATAGGAATTAGCTGCCATGATACAAAATATCTATTTCAAATCTACATTAAGTGATACACAAACAATGCAGACCACAGTATTAAAACATCCAGTTACAAATTATAATGCAATCTGCCATCTCTTAACATTTGCTTGTTTCTAGAAGACACCATCAGCCAGTGTTTTTAAAGATGCCTTCCATCATTTGTCCAAACCATCAATGGTTTAAGCTTGACTGTACAGCCCAAACTTGCTTAAAGTGAAACCAGAATATGTTATTCCTTTACTTCTGAAAAACAGTGCAACACACTCCTAATGAGTTAAATCCACCAGACTTAAAAAAACATCCTATAACCAAACACCTTTTATTTGGGTCAGTTAGATTGGTTTATTCCTTATAACACTATCTTCTGTCCTCACTAACCTGAATACTTGTTAAAAAGTTAACGGTCCAGATATCTTTTCTTTCTGCCCTTTTACAGTTTGACATAAGGATTCAGTCCCGAAAACAGACTAAAAGGGCATACATGCATACTTAAAACAAGTCCTGTCTGATCAACCTAATCCTGTTATCTTTGCTACCCAAGACTCATGTGAAGCATAGGTTTTCAATGCCTATAATAATACTACAACATACTTGGACAGGAAACCTGAAAGAAAAAACTAAGGAGACAGGGTAGGGAAGACAAAGAAAGTAGTCTGTGACTCACCATTAATTGTCTCAGACAATCCTATCGAGCACTCTTTTCTTTTTATTTCCAAGGATGATTAAACCACAGAAACTTGCACAAAGAACCCAACTTCATCTCCTCACTTAATGTTTACATATGCAACATGATGGGCAACAAGTGCAAGCTCTGCACCCAGCAAACAGATTTACTCTGAATGCTCCGTGAATAAGCCTACACCCCTTTTTCATGGGATGAAGTCAACTGTAGTACTGCCCTTTGCAAAAAACTATGAGAATGCAAACCACAGTTAAAAATTCTAGCCAGATAGGATGCTGTATGGTAGATGATAAAAATATTTTAATTATTTACACATAAATCCAAGCAATCCCAAGAACTAAAGACTACTGACCAGGCCTAATGAAGCATGACCCCACACATTATTGCTTTTCTGTAATGGAAATGACAAGCAAAATGTCTGATGTGCGAAATTTCCAGAAGTACCTGACTAAACATACTTGATGTCTGAGCTCAACCTATTCTTCCTCTCTATTCATCTCTTCCCTGCTCCTACTCTGTGCTGGACTTAGATTAATACCAATATCTTCTTTCCCAGAGGTTTTTTTCCTTAAGACTGTTAATTCCTCATTCAGTATAATTATATCCAAGATAGGCAGGAATAACAGAAGGCTAGTTACAATTTTTACAAATAGGTATAGCCATGCAAAATGTAAGTGTTTGTGGCAGATAGTGCAGTCAAGGCCTGGCTAGAAGCTAACATGATGCTTGCATATATACCTTTATATTCATCCAGTACAAGTCTTAAGTTTTCAGAAAAAATGGAAGTATGTGGAATAGTTATCTATTCATACCACCAAATGACCCAGTATTTCTAATCAGGGGCTCTACCCTTTAGGCTAACTGTCATATTTTATTTGAACATGAAACAAAAAAATGACTTAAAGCCATATAATATAACCTTTTCAAATAAATGAATTGACAGATACACAAAAGATCTGGTAGGAGGTTTGGCATTTCCCTGAAGTTTGAAGTACTTTTCAGAAGTTGCCAGACTCAAACATCTTATTCCATACTTTTTTCTTTTAAATAAAAAGCAAATACAAGTCATACCAAATCTAAATGCAGCTGTTTGTTGCTATGCATACAGCCAAACTTACACCACCAGTCCTTAAACATTCATGAGGCACAAAGAGATGAAAAAGCACATGGTACACCTCAAGCACATATCATTATGCAGTCAAACTTCAGCCACACGTGATTAACCTGATTCTTCCATTTGCCTCACCAGTGCAAGTCTGGAAGTATCATTCAAACAATATCTGCACCATAGCCATCATTTTGTCCAAAATAAAATTACAATTATGGGACTTAAAAAACCCCACCACTATTATTTAAAATTATTAAAAAGATATTACATGAAGAAAGAATTACCTCATTGTTCTGCAATGCTTGTTTTCCACTTCTTTTACTGTAGAGGGAAAAATAAGAGTATTTTACTTGTTATTAACACACATTTCTTTGTCTTGATCTCTACACAGAAGAAACAAAAAGGACGGCTTAGGATTTTATCTCTATCTCTTTCTTTCAAAGCAGTACAGTTTCTTCACAGCAAGGCTACTTTTCACATCAAACTTATGCGCTGTTTTTATACAATTTCAATGAAACCTTACTCCTTACAGCATTCAGTTTCATGTAGGCAAACTAAGTGTCCCTCTTTCATCTTTGAGTTTTGCTTTGCCTTGGCTTCACCATCATGAATTCTTAGTGTTTCTATGTTTCTCACACATACTTTGCAAGCATGGCTACATGGTTCCACTGACCACATATGAAAACTACATGAAAGCAGATGCAGCAATCCAAGCAACCGAACTTTGATGTTTCACACTATCTACATAAACCAAACAGATTTCGTTTGCATTATAGTTGACTTCCAAATAACACATTTTACTATATATAAATATTATTTGTTCATAAACATGAGCTGCAGGGGAAAAAAAGATCCTGTGAAACCAAGTTCCTGCAAAGGCATGCATTGGGAAGGGGAGCTAGTTTTCATTCTGTCATTTTCCCTTCCCCTGCATTTTACAGAACAGTTAGAGAAGTATTTATCAACTAGTGCTAAACAAACATTCAAAAGTGCAATGCTCTTCTTCCTCTCCTTGTAAGAAAGTGAAGCTGACATAAGACAGTTCTAGTTTGTCTGTCTTCCTTTCTGAACATTCAAGCATCACATAAGCACAAGAAGCTGTTGGGAGCGTTTATGCATTTATGTAGTTTAAAAGGGACCACTAACCATGTTAAATTTTAACCTACCATTTCCCAGTCACCATACTAAAACACTGAGAGCAGCCTGCCTTACATACACTTTTGAGACAGCACCTAGGAAATTACAGGTAAGCAGAACCTATGAAAGGCACAGCTCCTTCTGCCTACAACATCAAAACAGCTGCAGACTACCACACAACCCCATGACTTTATCAACAGCATCGTTTCACAACTATGCTTTTAAGATCTGCAAAGGAAATATGTAGGATGAAACCATGCCTATTTTAATTCATGATGTTTAGAAAGATCTATGAATTTCACTGACCTGTGAAGAGAAATAACTTAATTATTACGGAAGGAAGAGGCAATGTCTCAGAGCAATATTAGGAAAGAAGGGAAGGAGGAGATCATGAAAGTGAGACGGGAGAGATGCCAGTTTAACAAGAACTTAATTACAAGTAATGGTGAGATGGAAGTCTGAGAGAAGAAGATAAAAATCTTGTAAGACTACTAGTGCAAAAGACCAAACAAAGAACATGAAGGGCAGCAGAGGGCAGATTGGGGGAGAAATAACTTATTAACAGTTCAAAAAAGATATAACATTTAGAGATATAACATTTAATCTGGACATGATGGAATTATGTCTACAGAAATAGTAACAGTGTGCAGAGTCTAAGAAACAATCCAGTTAGAGACTACATTCTGGTGTCATAGGAGCAATGTATTGCTGGTACAAGAAGCTTCTCAATGTATCTTGTAATGTTTCAAAGTACAAAAGACTGACCTATTTTTTAAAAAGTGTCCTTGAGCATGGACCAGTCCAATCACATCTGGCTTGGGATTAGCAGAAAAACAGTATACTTAGGTGTGAATAAATTGTTATCAGACTGTGTGGGTATTGACCTAGATGACTCATGACTTGCCATAATGCAAAATGAAAGTAGGCTGCTCTTCCAGATATGCTATAATAATTCCTAGCTTTGTTGCTTCAAGGCCTGCCAATGTTTGAAGTCACAACACTCATAATACTCAACTATTTCAGCTTGAAAAGGATCAGAAGTGAATACATTAAAATATTAATATATTAAGATGAGGCACAGAATTATTCTGGCAGTTGAATACCTTTGATGCATGTATTCACACATTATTTCCTACAGTAGCCATTGAGAGAAATTCAGCAGCTGAAACTGATTATCCATTAAAGGGAAAGGACTGTTCAGAAATAGCAACTTTCTATTTAATTGCAAACTCACATTTAATTAGAATTTATATTTATAAAGTTTAAGATAAAAATTAAGTATTTGTAAATTCAAAATCTAATGAAGAAAAAACCCTAAGTGTTTTGTTCTCTTTTTCTAAAAAAAAATTAGTGCAAGCTCAAAACAAGACTAATATTTCAATAAGAAAGGAAATAGTCTTATATATTAAGTATGGATTATCTAGAAGCAAAAAAATAAATGTGGCTACCTAGTGTCCAAATCATTTGTTCTTGCTATTAAAAAAAAAATAAAAATAAACCATCATATTTTAAAAGTAGAACCATTTTATTTGCAACAAAAGACTGTGCCATAGTTCTGCCTGGAATAAAAAACTTCCACAGGCTGACTACTGCAGAACTTTACCTTCTCAAGAGTCTTATTTTTTCAGTCTGATACGTACTGGCACTACTCCTGACTCCATTATACTACTGTAGAACTTTTTTGTGAGAATTGTGGTTGCATTCTCATTGCATTTAAAGACTAAATAACACCCTCAATTACTCAGCAAGAATACAACAAGACTATCTGGTTACAGCAGAGAGCTCTAACATTTGGAATAGATTCAAGCTTTCTCTTATTCCAGACCCCTCATTTACTTCATGCTGGAGCATCACAGCCTTATTGGTGAAGGAACGCAAGTGCTACGTGCTGTCCAAATTCTTCAGGACAAATAAATTCTCTGGTATAGGGGCCATCATTGAGCAGCACAGTGTAAGGATTGCTTGGAATAGAAACATAAGGCTGCCTTTTACTGCAATGTTAGCTTCAGTGATTACCCTATCCACACATATCACATTCCAGTTTGCGTTAAACTGTGCTCTTTATTATCACAGGAGTGCCATGAAGCTCAAGTGCTACTGATGCTTGACTTGATGTGGATGGGTAACAGCTGTGATACAGCTCAGGTTAGTACAATTCATCACATGCTTATTCAATCAATGCTACTACAATCCAGGCAGCTACTATCAAATTGCAGAAGAGCTCTACTTTTGAACTTTGGTGTAGTAACTCTCACTTCTACAAGGTACTCACAATGAAACCCTTCCCCAAGTGTGTGTATTGAGGCTGAAGCTGGACTGGCTGGGACAATGAAAGATCCCAAAGTCAAAACAACTTCCAGAGAGTTTGAATGGGAGTAGCACTAGATTCAGCAGTGATCTGAAACGTGCCCTGTAGGGAACATACTTCTGTTCCTCTCTACCTCAAAGTCAGAACTGTGCAGTGACTGTTCACTATTCATTTCTCCTCTTTTGCTTATATATCAGAAAGTTCCAAGATTTTTCTCCTTCCCATCCCTGGACTTGGGTTGCTTTTTTACTTCCAGTCATCAGTTCCCTTGAGGCATTAGATTTTATCAAAAATAATTCAACAGTTATATTACAGATACTAAGAGAATACAGGACCTTGCTTTAGGTGACCAAAAAAAGAAAGTTACAGTGACAAAATAAAACTACAGGAACAAATATTCAAAAGATAACTTTATGGCAAGAAAAAGAAAAAAGTATGGCAGACATCGTAAAACAGTCTTATCCAGGAAAGTAAATTACTACATTTTTGAATTTATGAAAGCTTAACTGCAGCTTAAAAATAATAAAGTGATTTTAAACTGAACATGACAGTTTACATGTGAAGAGAGTATTCTGAAAGCATGAGTTGAGTACAAATTAATACAGTAACATTTACTCAAAACTATACAAAGACTTTTATATCGAACTGCTCTAACTTATTTCCCTGAAATAATAAAAAAAAAAGTAGAAATATAAAAGCTAGCTTTCTTCCAAGCTCTTACTATGCCAATAGAATACAGTTGTGTAGCAAAATTACTTAACTTACGATAACTCATCTCCGATGTCTGCTTACATTTCAGTTTTTCCACATGGAAGATTCTTATTTGACTCAAACTACCTTTACTGCCAGGGAGTTAGGAAAAAAGACCTACCAATATAGTAACAAAATAACAGACTTAATTAACTAGCAAGCAGATGATGGGAAGACTCCCACTTTTGAGCTTCCTTCACACCCTCACAGGCAAGGAGGGGTAGTGATGGTGGGGGTTTTGAAAAGGGTCACCTAAACAATATATAGAAAAAAGATAAGAAAAGTTATGGTACTAAAATATTTCTAACACTGAGACAAATTTATTGATTTGGATAGGAATAATTTTGGATAAGGATAGGAACACAGAATATTCCAAGATGAAACAACACTTAGAAAGTTTCTGCACAGTTTCTTTACAATTTTTACATTAAAAATCTTAATTATATACATCTCTCGGCCTCTACTCAGCAGGTATTACTGCTACACTAGTCAAGTTTTTCTGCAAAATTCCACAGTCTAAGGCTTAAATTTTAAAGCAATCAGTAAGTCAAATTCTGCTTTCAGAAGCAAAACTTCATCCACAGATCACCATGGTTGATGTAGCAACCCCTCTGCAGCAACACTGATCACAAAGCCAAGAAAAAATAATGTAGAATGAAAAACAAAGTACTTTTGATTCAGATGATATGTCTATGAAATGAACTTCCAGAATACCCAAATAAAACGATTTTGTAAAAATCTTCCTCTATATTGGAGATAGGGAGAAGGAGTTTCCATAAAGACTTAGTACAATAAAAAAAAAAAAAAAATTAAACCCCCACAACTTTCATCTGCTTCATGTGACTATCTATGGTAACAAAATATATAGATTAGCATGAGTTTAATCTACACCAATTTTCATGGTGTTTCCTCTGACTGCTACCTTTATGCTAAACAAAACAAAGCATTCTTTCAAAATGATCCTCCTCTATGTTCATGGTGTTTAAAGTCAGACTCAAAACTAACATTTCAGTGACTACAATAGGCGTACATGAAAAGCCACTTCTAATTACAGCTGTGTCTTTGACACTCCTTACCAAGGTTACCATTTATTATGGGGAGTACTATGATGAGTTTTGGACCCCCA